GATTGTGTGCTTGTGGCAGTGATTAAACGTTTCCAGGGGTGGAGAGTTACATTTCATTGAGGTTCCCCCCATCCGCAGACTTAGATCTAGAGAGCTTTGCTGAGTGACTCAAGTGCTTGCTGCAAATGTGTAAGTGTTGGCATCATACAGGTGGTTCTGGCGCTCTGTCAGGAAGGAGGAATAATGTGGTTAATAGAGGTGTGTGGACAGTTTTTAGTTACAAAACTGACAGTAATTTAATGTTCTATCTGTCTAGAGGGTGCTGAGGCGCTGGCACAGGGTGCCCAGAGAAGCTGTGGCTGCCCCATCCCTGGCAGTGTTCAAGGCCAGGTTGGACACAGGGGCTTGGAGCAACCTGCTCTAGTGGAAGGTGTCCCTGCCCGTGGCAGGGGTTGGAACTGGATGGGCTTTAAGGTCCCTTCCAGCACAAACCAGTCTGTGATTCTATGATACTGACATCTGTCATGCTAGCAGCATCATACCTGTGTAGTCCCGTACTCTAGGCTTTAAAAGCTGTCTCCAGTATCAGAATGTGGATGTAAATTGATGAAAGCAACTGTTAACAGTGGAAAGTCTGTTAGCATCTGAGATTGTTTTTGTGCTGCTGTAAGTGCAGTCGTTTCATACATTAGCCGCCCAATCTAAAGAGTCTTTGGTTAAGCACTGCCAAAGAACCATAACTCAACTGGTTATAGAGATCATTTAATGCCTTATTAATTCTTCCTTTATTCATATATATTGTCCACAGTTGACTGTCAGAATTTCTTTCTTTATCACAAAGCAAGGAAACATCCTATTTGTCCAAAACGAAAACACATAATTATACCATCCACATTCTTCTTCAGGAAAAAACATGCTTACTATGTTTAAAAAGCTGCCACTGTGGAGAAATCAGATTGAATTTATTTAGTATGGAAGCTTTAGCTGAAAGCCTAAACAGGTTTTCGCATGCAAAAAGTAGCTGATTCTTCAGTCTGTAGTTAATGTAAATTGCCTCTTGCTTGAACCACAACTCTGTGTGTAAAAGATGAAAAATTGCCTTTTCTTGCCAGAGGACTAGCATCAGCCTAGTTGGATATGATGGGGCTCCTGCAAAATTCAGTTTGAAAGCATCTTTAGATTGGGAGCAGCATCGTGGTTCTAAGTTCTCTGTGATGCCCCATTGTAAGCCCTTTGTGGAGTATCCAGGTTTAGATGAGCAGTTTATTGTTTTGTTAGTATTCACTATGAATTCACCTAGATGCAGATGGAGTGGCATGTACAAGGACTCACCCCTTCTGTAATGCCTGGGATTTCGTCCTACCCCCACTGCCCAAGCCATGTTCTTTTCTGACTTGTGCTTGTTAACTGCCCAGTATCATTCCATTACAACCAGGCCCAACACATCAGCTTTCTGTTGTCCTTGCCAGGTAGCAGCCCCAGTTGCCATCTTATGTTCCATGTGAGCATCCGAAGATCCTAAAACCTCTCTCTTTCTGTTTTGTAGAGACAAGAGATACTTGATTCCATTATGTGTGCGTCAGCCAAATACAACACCCGGGGTCCAGCCCTCATCCCAAGGATGAAAACCAAGCACCGCATCTACTACATCACTCTCTTCTCCATAGTTCTGCTTGGCCTCATTGCCACAGGAATATTCCAGTTCTGGCCTCACTCCATTGAGTCATCCAGTGACTGGACCGTTGAAAAACGCAGTGTCCATGATGTGCCTGTGGTCAAGCTTCATGCTGACAGCCCCATTCCTGAGCGGGGAGACCTCAGCTGCAGGATGCACACCTGCTTCGATGTCTATCGCTGTGGCTTCAATCCCAAAAACAAAATCAAGGTGTACATCTACTCACTGAAGAAGTATGTGGATGAATATGGGACCTCGGTGAGCAACACCATTTCCAGGGAATACAATGAGCTCCTGACTGCCATATCTGACAGTGAATTCTACACTGATGATGTGAACCGGGCCTGCCTTTTTGTGCCATCCATAGATGTCCTCAATCAGAATGCACTCCGTATCAAGGAGACAGCTCAGGCTTTGGCACAGTTATCCAGGTACTTCCTGAAAGTTCAGAGTGTGAATTTAAGGAACACAAATTGGAGAAAGCTAAGGTTAATGCAGGAGGGGAGGATGCAGTGAGTTGATGCCAGAGCTAGGCTTTGACAGAACTTACCATCTGTATATGGATAACACCTTTCTAATTGCTGTCTGTTTCTTCTTTTGCTTTAGGTGGGATCGAGGCACAAATCACTTGCTCTTCAATATGCTGCCTGGAGGGCCACCAGATTATAACACTGCCCTAGATGTTCCTAGAGATAGGTATGAGTTTTGCTGTGTTTGAATGCACACGTCTGGGTTTAAATGCCATTCAAGAAGCACAAGTGCAGAAGCCGAAGCTCAGAAGTGCAGCTGATGGCAAAGGACGTGCCCCTTAACCTTTACAAAGCTGGAATATGGCTTTGTCTCTTCTCAAAAACAGGGGATAGAGAAGTCCGTGTCTTCTGTAGGACAAGTGTTTGCTCCTGAAATTTGTCAGTTTAGGCCCATCCTTAATTTTATATGGGATGTGGCTGACAGCATTTACTCTTAACTATTTGGCTTGCTGTAAGTATGGAGAATCTTGAGGTTAGACCTGTACACTGTGTGTTACTGAAGCTAAATGCTTTACAGAATGTCCCATTTGATGTAAATTAGGAGTTCAAATATGTTCGTAACTGCAGCTTTCTGATAGAAGTCTTCAAGGGCTTTTTAAAGCAGCTGCTCTACTTGATTGAGCTGTGGTGAATTTCAATAGTTTTTTTTGTCTTAACAATTACTCTGTGTTAGTAATGGAGCAAATGCTCTTAGTTATTCTCTGGCAAGGGTGTTATGAAAATATTTGCAAAAAACTTAAAAAGCATGAATCCTGAGCTCAATTTTCACTTGCAGAATAGCTTACATTTGAAAGAAGAAAGGAGGTTGTAAGGCAAAGAAAACTGGAATAGCAGTAAGACAAACTTACTTAGCTTAAGTACCATTACTGAATGTTTCTACTAGATTAGTTTGTGTGTGCTGAGTTCTGCTGTGTTAGGTCCCACGTTACCAGTCCCTCTCTTGAAGGTCAAGGTTAACTTTCTTCTGCCAAACGTCAACAAAATCTTGCCTGACAGGTGGGATCTTTGCTAAGGTGATTGTGTATGGAGTATATCTTGGTTTCTTTGCACCAAAGATGATTTAAAACATCCTTCAGTGCCAGAACATGTTTTTTCAGGTTATGTTCAAAGAGTAAGTTTACTCATTGTAATTACATCACTGAATGTGAAGTAAGGCTTTAGGTTTTTACTTCTCTGTATGAAATATGTTACATTCATGTCGTTTAGCCTGAAGAGGGCAGTCAAGCATCATTCCTACATAACCAAACCTGTTAGTAAATACTTGGATATGTTATCTTAAGATTTATACTTCTTAAGGGGAATTTTCATTTGATGATGCTCTGCTTATTGGAATGGACAGCTCTGGGACTGTGTATTTGCAGATACACGTGTCTATTGAAGAAGCAGATTCATTAATTGAATGCAGTTCTAACACTGTACAACTGTTGGGGTTTTTTTTAACTTCTTTTTGTATGTCAGATGTCCATTCATATTTGGTCTTATGTGACTTGGCTTAGTATGCAGGAAGTGTATTATTTTGGTAGGTGTTTGTTCTAAGAGTTTGTCGTGCTAACATGGAAAGTAAAGTAATTGGAATAAAAACCCAGATCTTTTTTGACATACAGCTGTTGTCGTAGCTTGCCAAACTGACTCACCCTGCAGCTGTATGATCACTAGCTGTAACACATGAGAGAGGCAATAACAGTGCTTGGGATGGAGAAAAGATGGAAACTCCTTTTTGTAGGCAGCCGACAGTCAGACTGTATTCCATGTAGTACAGAACCTGTACTACAGGTCAGAGGTGGAGTATGAGGTTATGGTATGATTTAGGAGAATTCTGGAGTTCTTAGTTCGTGTCTAACAGAACAAGCAACCTGTGTGTGTGTTTTAGTTTGGGAATGTTTACACTTACAGACTGGGTAGTTAACAAAGTGTTGTAGCATCTCAGTTGTTTGTAGCATCGCAGGGTGAGAGACTGCAGGCCAAGATGAAGGTGCGTTGGCAAAGTTCACTTGGTTTTGAATGACTCATCTGAACTGCACCAGTACAATTCCGGAAAGGTTGGATTTGTGGGATTTTGTGCTTCACTCATGAAATACACAGGTAACATTTGTGAAGTCTGCACAGGGAGTGTGGCCTGCCTTCCTTTTTTGGCACAAACCAGAGGTCATATGTAGCTGAACAGTAGTGGATCGTGAGGTTTGAGAGAGTTGTGTTCCGTTGATTTGCTGCAGAGTATTAATTCCAGGTAAAATAAGACCTTATACACAAAGGGAAATTCAGTTATGGTATTTTTACATCTGGAGAAGTCTTTAGCTAAAAAGTTACCTCACTGAGGGGTTGTTTGTTTATTAAATCTTTAAATCCAATTTCCAGAGACAGTGTAAAAGTGTTTCGTTCCATAATTTCAAAGATGGAAATATGCCTTGTGGGCATGGAAGCTATGTTGCTGGTAGTAGGTGCCGTAACATCTGTAGTCTTCTACCATAAAACTTAAAAAATAAGCTCTTTATTATTTGTTAATAAGTGCTATTGAATTTGGTACGATAATGAGGATGAAAGGATCGCTTTTGCAAAGCTACTCTGTCGCTGTAGAATTGAACATATGAACTAAGATACCTTTTTGTTCTGCTTCAGTCGATGAATTGGGTTTCAGTGACTTGTGAAGTTTGGCAGAAAGCTCATGATGATGGCAGCTGGGCAGAAATATTTACTGTACAGGCCATTTGGGACACTTCCTGGAGAGAGACATTGAAGGATCAATATCTGAAAAGTGGCAAAAAGTTGCTCAGGACCAGGCTTATTCCTTACTGGTGGGTGCAATTGAAAGGTTGTTTGTCTTGAGTACGTTAGGAGTTAATATCTCTACTCTCTTACTGCACTGAACAGTGAAAATCTGAGCAGAGTTATTTAACTGGTGTTGGTTCCCTGTGGGTTTATTTAGGTAAAAGTCTGCATGACACACACCTGGTTTCTCAAGGCTGATGAGGTGCTGTCATGTTTTCACCGGATCCAATTAAAACAATCTGGTTGTAGTTTCCCAATTAGGGGGGGTTAAAAAAAGAGGAAGGGGTATGAAGTGCAAGAACAGCAACACCCAAGCCAGTTTTTTCTCCCTGCTTATGACTGACCTAACGTGGATAAGACATGGAACATGTGGCTTCAAGGGCGAGAGCTAGTCATAACAGCGTTGTACATGTCACCCAAAGGGACATTGGAAAGGAATCCAAAATAATCACTTGATTTGGAACATAAATTCCCACTCAGCATGTACTTGATACATCATCCTGTTCTCAAGTTGATTTCTGTTCCTGCTATAGTTTGTGTTCTGAGTGAAGAGTAGTAAAGGGCAAGTTGTTCTGATTTTCTAATCGTTGTCAGGCTGAAATGCATCTCTCATCTAGATCCTCTAATCCAGAGCCTGGGATTTTCAAAGAGCTCCTTAAATGACACTTAGGACTGTTTGCTTGGCTACGTAGGTGAAGTCACGTTTATGGCAAAGTGTGATTGTGGTGTTTGAACTCTGAACAACTGTGCTGCAGGTCAGAGCAGGAAGTGAAGTATCCCGTGGGACATCTGATGGGAGTTAGAGCAGGCACACCATACTGGTGTCGATGTTCCAATGGGAAAAAATGGTAGGTATTGGATGATAATTAGGTATAATGATAATTTGTTGTGTAACAGCTGTGGAAAAACTGCTTCTCCAAACACTATACTAGGGATTTCTATTCAGTGATATCTGAAAACAAGGATATCAGCTGATGGATTGTCAGTGCCTCTTCCAGCCTTACCTTGACTTTTGTTTCTGATAAGGCTTTTGGCTGTAATCATGGCTGCTACAATGGGTACAGCTCCTCAGGATCCTTTCTGTAGCGCTTAGTGTTGTATTTGTGTTCTGCTTCTTTCCACAGTGAAGGAGAGACATGAATTGGAGTAGTTTTTCTCCAGATTACTTTGTATGGTACCTTAGGCAGACTTGGTATCCCTGGGGCAATTTGAAGTATCACACATCCTGCTGTTTGGTGACAAAGGACTGAAAGTTTGATCAGCTGTTTGAGAAGATTCACTAAAGAAGCTGAATCCGAGCTTCTTTTGATGATGTGTTCATCGTGCCATGTGGTCACTGGAGATGAAGTAGCAACTGAAAAGCTGATACCCTCTACTAGCATGTTTCCAAGAAGCCTGATTTGGGATAGGAGATAGTACCAAGCCCATTTTTCTGGCCTTGTGAATGATGTATTCCTTTCTTCTGTAGACATTGTTCTCTTCTGTTTCTTAGAGCTCTTCTGTGTGGCAAAAGGTTGTACCATCTAGGAAAAGCCACAATCAGGGTCATACTTTTGAGAGGTTGAATTACATCTTAATTTATAGATCTTGGATGATTCCCATGCTCCCTGCCACACAGTGTCCCAAAGCAGCCTCCGCTGCTGGGATTTAGCTTCATAACCTGCAGAGTTCTTGTTGTCATGTTTTCTGTTAATAGCATTTTTCACTAGTTTGTAGAATCACTTTGAAAATACAGTTGCAAATAACTTTATTTTATTTTCCAGCCTGAGAATTCTAGAGTCACTGAAGCTGTTATTGTACCTGAACTTGTATCTGAAATATAGCTTGTCTCTAACACCTTGAGACCTGTGCTATACCCTATTTCAGTGCAGGCATCGAGGAGTATTTTAACTAGTATAAGTAACTGACAATGTGTTTCTTTATATTAAAATTGACTTGCGAGATGTAAGCTTGCAAAAATGCAAAGTTATCACAATGACTTCAATAAATGGTCCATTCCTGAGTGATTGTGATCAAACACAATCGTAAGTATTCTACTGATGACTAGATCCAATCTGGCAGTAAGCCCAGTCCATGAAAACTCAAGTGAACCGAAAAGCTGCATGAAAAACGCCTCTGACAAAAGCTGAGGGCAAAATTTATCTCAGAGCATGCATCTTCCTGACGTTCTGGTAATGACAATCCTAAGTTATGCTCTGAGTTTGAATGGTCTACATACTCTGTTTAAAGTCATTTTCTTGTGTTTTCCAGAGCTCTGCTGGCTGGTGGAGGCTTTTCCACATGGACTTACCGGCAAGGCTATGATGTCAGTATTCCTGTTTACAGCCCCTTGTCAGCAGAGGTGGATCTGCCAGAAAGAGGACCAGGGTAAAGGAATTACCATGAATTGGGCAAAGTATATTGAATATCATGTTTAATATTGATGCTGATAAAATATAAGTATAGCTACTAACTGGGCAAAGTTGTAAGAGTTGCTTTTAATAAGTCTTACTGTTACAATATATGATAGTTCCAATGCTAAAGGCTTTGGCTCATCTGCCAACACGTGGTTTAGCTCTAAACTGAGGATTTCTTTTTGAGTGATTCTTCTTTTTTTTCCACTCCAGAAACTGAACTGTGGAACACTACAGCATGTCAGTGTTTCCAGTAGAATTAGAATCAGTATTTCCATTGAACTGACAAGGTATATGGCATACAAAGAAAAGCAGTTGTTATATTTGGTTTTTTTAAAGTGTAAGTAAAGCTGGGCAGTAATTCAAAGCAATACAGATTCCCTAATACATGATCACTTCAGACAAGTTGGTTTAGGGATCTTAAAAGCAAAGTAACAGCAAAAGATCACTAATGCAATGTTAAAAGCATTGTGCTGTACATCCTTTGTGACTTTAAAGAGATGGAAGGGATCATGGGGATCAACGTGAATGCCTCGGGTAGTATCTGCCAAGGCAAACTTTGAATGAGTAAGAGTAGGATAGGAATGAGGATGTGATCTTTACCTCAGTATGTCTTATAGATATGTTCTTTGTACGTAGATGTTTTTGTGGTTCTGAAGTCCTTTCAAAATGACATTGAGAGTTTGAAACAGGAGAAGCCTGCAAATACAGCTCTGAAGGGAAGCGGCTCTTGCAGAATGAATCTGAAAGGGGTTAGTGTGGTTAGCATGAGAAGAAAAATGAGAACCGATTTGGTTATGGGAATAGTTACATTCAGAGCTTAGAATTCTGATTTTATTTGTTTCTTTTTTAAAGCAATGGAGCAAGACCTAAACATAAACAACACCCCCTGACCTTGTAGCTGGAAGTATAAAGCAAGACAAGTGGGTAATAAAGCACTAAGTTAACAAGGAATTTAATTAGCCATTAGCTACCCTGGCAAGTGGTGGTTTCTCTAATACATTCATGTCTTCAGAACCAGAGTAGTTAGAAGTCTGGAAGATGTGTTTTGATTGATTATGGAAGACTCTTAATATTTCATAAGCCTCTTAATTACACAGCTGGAAATGTTTCACTGTAGCAAAGTCTTACCTGTGTTACGGTTTAAAAGATGGGCAGACTTGGAGCAACGATGTGTCTGCTGGTTGTGAAGATCAATTTTAGAAATGCAGAAACTTTAGGTCCTTTTTCTGACAGTATCCTATAAAGAATATGAATTATTACAGTTGAAAACTGATTGAAAGGGTACTGCCACTGTTGGACACAGAAAGTTACTGTACTTCGGATTGTACTCTGGTTTCAATTGTCTTCTCCTCTGCTAAGGGCAATTTTCTTGCTGTTGCTCTGAGCTGCTCCAAGTAAGATGCCACAGTCAATTACAGGCCAAACTCGTGCAGCAGTGGTTTGCTTTGCTCACACCCTCTATGGTCCTGCTTGTGATGCTGCTGGACCAGGCCAGTGTAGGGACATCTGGTTGCATCCCAATTGATTCTTCATAGGTCTCAAGTATTACTACAGTCTACTGCTATTAACTACTACTATTACGGACTGAAAGCCTGCTTTGTATTTCTGCCTGGAAAGCATGAAGGTGATGATAGGCATCAGCAAGTATAGAACCAGTTGTAAAGAGAGATGCAGTCATATTGTTCGCATTCATTTAGTCAGCTAAATGCTTTGTCTGGTTTTAGGTCAATTTTCAGGATAAGGGAAACTGTTACAGGGGAGCTGATGCAGTGCATGAGTCTGTGTGCAGTGAAGGTGTTGGAGCTTCCATGTTTCTCAAAGGTGGTGTTTTTTCGTGTGTGGGGAACAGACTGTCGTCTCCGGACTACCATCTAGTGGCCAGTTAGCATTACTAATAGAAACACATTCACAGGTTCGATTGCTTTATGCAGGAGTATGACAAGGGAATGATGCTCAGAATTCAGCCTTGTTTGGGATAAATTATTACATTCCAGTACACCAATGTGTTATTTCCTGGGATCTGGGATGTGCTTTTGTAGCAAGTTTTGATAACAAGCTTTGGAGCATCATAGGATGATGAAAGTTTCAAGGCAAAATTTGGTTTTAAACCTATACATAAACAAACCTCTGTATAATTTTTAGCTGCTTGTAGTCATTTATTATCACTCATCTACATCAGTATTTCCTTTTTTAAGGCAAATCCTTTTTTATTCCCCTTATGGAGCTAAACCGAGGAGGTTTGATTTACATTCCTTTTTAGTTGGATTGTTTAAAACACTTTAAATCCACCTCTGCTGGAAATATATATTCTGTAGAGCTGCTGGTAGCAAGTTGGTAGCAGCTGGAGGTTTGGGGAAAAGAATGTCTTATCTGTTAATTGGAGCAACTAAAGTGACCAGCGTGAAAATGAGTAGAAGAGGTGAGAAAAGCAGCAGGAGAGGTCTGACTTTATAAAATGTGTGCTTGTATGTGTTTTCAGAGCTGTAAATTAGAGATAGCATCACGTGGAGTAGAACTGGAATCCTAAGTGCAGGCTTCGTGTTTGCTGTGTTCTTTTGGCAGCGCGAGGGCAGGCACTCGCTGTGTGTTCCTTTCAGTGGGGAGCAGCAGAGCAGACTGGCCTGTTTAAAAAGGAAAGCAAAGTACATGAGAATGAGTAGATATTATGTGAAATGCTGGTTTCCAACTTTAACATAACTTTTTAAAGCAACGAGTACCTAATTTGAGGCTGCATTCCTATGTGGTTTACCTCCAGTGTTAATTATGTCTGGAAACACTTCAATATTAAGGCAAATCTTAGATATTCATCTTTTTGGAACATGAAATTAGGAGTTGAGAGTGAATGGGATAAAGGGTCTTCAGCTTAGTTCTGCAAGTGTTGCCTTTATGTTGCTTAAAAGGGACAGATAATGAAATGAGCTTGTCCTGTTGCTGTTGTCACCATATCAAGACTAAATAAGCACAGGGTAGGTGAGCTGTCAGTTCAGTATCTTTTTCTTTTTTCACTTAAAATTGATGAGAAAATACATGGGACAAGAAAGTAGCAGCAACATTCAGTATCCTGTCTACTTTGTTATAGTACACGAACACCAAATGAAGAAAGAAACAATCCTAGCATCAGTGACAAGCTGTTTTAATACGTAGCTAAACAATGTTTATTTCCATTTGTAATAGAGGTTACAATGCAAATGCTTGTTCTAATGTAATAAGCACTGTTTCCAAGTACAAATTTATCCAAAGTTGTAAATAATGCTGAGCCAGTAACTATTCAAGATTTAATTATATTGCATTATTACTCTTTCCAGCCTTGTCTTGAACCTTATATGTTCTTGGCAGTGTATCCACATTTAGTTAATCTTGCTCTGCTTTTCCAGGATGGAAGCAAATATGTTCTAGAGCATCTTGGAAGTAAACTCCCAGTGCTGTCAGGTAACCCTGCTGTGGTTTTTCAGTCCTCGCAGGTATTTCATCCTGTCATCTCAAATGTCTCTGCACCCAGAATACCGGTCTGAATTGGAAGCACTTCAAGCTGAGAATGGGGAATCAGTGTTGATCCTAGACAAGTGTACAAACCTGTCTGATGGGGTCCCTTCTGTTCGTAAACGCTGTCACAAGAATCAGGTCTTTGATTATCCTCAAGTGCTTCAGGTAAGGCTGCCTCTCCTGCAAACTTCTCTTCCCTTGGTGACTGTCTTAGAATCATAGAATGGTTTGGGTTGGAAAGGATCTTAAGATCATCTAGTTCCAACCCCGCTGCCATGGGCAGGGACGCCTCACACTAGACCATGTCACCCAAGACTCTGTCCAGCCTGGCCTTGAACACTGCCAGGGATGGAGCATTCACCAGTTCTTTGGGCAACCTGTTCCAGTGCCTCAGTACCCTCACAGTAAAGAACTTCTTCATTATGTCCAACCTGAACTTCCCCTGTTTAAGTTTAAACCCATCACTGCTTGTCCTATCACTACAGTCCCTAACGAAGAATCTCCCTCCAGCATCCTTGTAGCCCCCTTCAGACACTGGAAGCTGCTCTGAGGTCTCCACACAGCTTCTCTTCTCCAGGCTGAACAGCCCCAATGTTCTCAGCCTGTCTCCATACAGGAGGTGCTCCAGCCCCTGATCATCCTCGTGGCCTCCTCTGGATTTGCTCCAACAGCTCCATGTTCTTTTTATGTTGAGGACACCAGACCTGGACACAATACTCCAAGTGAGGTCTCACAAGAGCAGAGTACAGGGTCAAGATCACCTCCTTCAACCTGCTGGTCACGTTGCTTTTGATGCAGCCCAGGATACGGTTGGTTTCTGGGCTGCGAGTGAACGCTGCCTGCTCTTGTTAAATTTCTTAACAACCAACACCCCCAAGTCCTTCTTTGCTGCTCTGAATCACTTCTACACCCAACCTGTAGATGTCTTAGCTGATCCCGTTTAGCACCAGTAGGGTACTTCCTTGGATTGGGTTGACTTGCTGACTGTGTTTTGAAACTGCCTAATTTATTATGTTAACTTGGATATTATATCCTAACTTTAGAGTGCCTAGAACTGTGTACTCAATCTGTGCTGCAAAAACACTGCTTCCGTATAACAACTTCATGAGATTGGTCATGGTGGTCTTCTAGTAACACATGATAATGTCATGTAAACTTAAAAAATGGTATGAAAATACTGCCAAATCCAGCAGCAAAGGGAAACTTTTGGAGGCCAGAAAATATTGCTCACTTGAAAACTGGGGAAGAACACTGGAATCTACACCTTCCAGAATAACTAGCAAAATGACCTTCAGAAAGCATGAACTTAAAATTGATTCCTCACATACAACAATGAGGCCTTGCTAATAAAGCAGAGGATGGCTTTGTCAATTGGAGGGAAGATTAAAATGAAGTTATGTGAGGATTTATATGGGGGCAAAAAAGAGTCCTCCACTAAAGGATTTTGGGCAGATTGTATTTTCTGTATGCAGCTTAGTAGTTAACCCTCCAAAATTATCTGTATAGATGTGACAGAGTGAGCTAGAAGACTTGTCATCATGCAGCTATGAAAACATTTAGGTGAAATGTGTTTCATGGCCCTGGCCCAACTTCCAGGGGCCTTTTGATGTGTCAGTGAAGATAAAAGTAGATACCGTTCTCAGCCCCCTGTGTCTCTTGGCAGTGCATGGCCAGAGAGGTGCTTTGCCATGCAGCGTGGTGGAGTGAGCTATGCCACAGGCCACTGTGCTCTGTCTGTGGCCACCAGCACATAATGTGTCTTTGAACTTCAGCAAATGATGATAAAACAACAAGCAAGCTGAGGAAAGGCGAAGTTTCCATCCCTCCTGTTATGTTTTGTAGGAAATATGTTTAGAATTCCTTGTGGAGGAGGGGGAGAGGGAGGAAGGGGTCACCCTGAGTCCTAAACTTCCAGCCAAAAGGAAAAAAAAGCCACATTTGTTTGCTTTATTTCTTTAAGTATAGACTGGATTACTTAAGGATAGCAAATCAGGGAATTTATATCTATATCTTGCTATATATGATTTTATAACTCGGAAGAGAGTTGGCACATGCCGAGATTGTTCAAATACTTTCCTTTGCAGAGCCCTGCATCTCCCTTTGGAATGTCTGGCTGATAACAGTGGTGATGCAAGAAGATATATTTATAGTAACCTTTGTCTAGACAGGAAAAATGGTTATCTGGGCAGATGAGCATGTGTGTCCACATCTGGGCTGCTTTGGTTTTTTTCTCTCCCAGACCTTACTAGAGTTTCTTCCACCTGCTTCTGCGTGATCCAGCGAGTCAATGGTTAAAATGTGTGTTCTTTCTCTCTGCTCTTTCCATTCCCTGCACTCTTCTTTTCCTTCTCTTCCTGTCTGAAAGAGGGGGAAGGGGGATTGCAGTCACAGTTCATCCTTTCCAGCACTGCCTTTATAGACTTCCTACTAGACAGGCTCTTGGGCTTCTGGGTTGCTAATGCTTCCTGTTTGCAGTCTTCTCTTGGATGAGGTTTTCAAGGCTTTTAATACTTTATGGGTATGAGCACAGGTCTTATGATTGCTTTAGGAAATGAGTGAAGAGCCAGCAAACCCCCTTGTGTTTCCGAGTTCCATTTTGATGTTTTGCTGCCCTGCTGAGCCTCCTGGCTCCTTTTCCTCAGGCCACAGAGCACAAGCTGGAGAGATGTTTTCTTATCTGTGGGAGCCCCTCCATCAACTCTATAATTTTTCTTTCTTAGATTTAGGGATAATACTGACCTGGGCTTTTTCCTTGTTTGTGTAGCTGAACTCTGCAAGCATTTATTTTGCAATCTTGAATCTGTAGGAAGATTCCTCAGTGGCAAAGACAACTAAAGTCCCCATTTACAGGGTGAGTGCAGCGTAGTCAAGAAGTCTTCTCTGCTGCAGTTTAAACTCATGGCTTTTTGTCCTGTGTGTTGAGGACATGAATAAGTGGATTATATTCTTCCTTTATGCAACAACTTTTTATATCTTTGAAGCTCCCTTCAGCCATACTCCTCCTGCCCTCACCCCTTCACAATAAGTAGTGTTGATATAGTCAACCTTTCCTTGTAGATCATACTTTCGAGGTAAGTAATCATCCTTTTTTTTACCCCTGGAAGTGCATTGCCCAGGACTGAACACACTGCTGTGTCTGAGGTCTTTTGTTACTGAGTAAAGCGAGAGATTCCTTCAGGTTTCTTAGATTCAAAATTCAATCTTTTTGATTCTAACACAACCTGTGGGTGGAGTGGTTTGGTTTTAAAACAGCACAACATTGCTGACATGTGAATACCCTTTCTGTTCCTGTTCTTTCTGTAGGAAATGTCCTCTTCTGCAAGGTGCAAAAGTTACTTCATACTTTATGGTTATGCAGTTGGTTATTATCTATATATTATCTAAGTGTTGAACCCTACATGTATGGCTATTTTTTAGTCAGTTTTATCCATATCATGTCAAACTCTAATATATTTGCTAATCCTGCAAAATCTTAGGTATTGTCAGATCTGTTAAGTATGGTCCTAATTCTGCCTCTCAGGTAATTAAGGGACACATTGAATATTGTTGCATCTAGGAAAGCTTATTTGGTCCATCACTTTTTTACCTGTGAGCCACTGCAAACTGCTTTATACTTAGAGCTCTTCCTGTAACTGTAATTTATGTAACTATAAATCCTGTGAGGGCTTTATCTAGCCCATGATTTCTTAATTGGCTTATGAAAATGCTATAAAAGATGTCAAATGCCTTTTAAAGTTGAGATATGAAATCTATTGCTTTTCTGCTGTCCATAGAGCTGGATTGCCCTGTGATGGAAGAAAATTAGGTTGGCTTCATACAGTTTGTACTCTGTAAGTTCATGTCGATTGTTGCTCATCTTATGCCAAACTTTCAAAATTTAACTTGTTTTTCTCCTTGAAATGTCTCAATTAGAATTCTGAAGGTTGGCCATTAAAATACAGCAAAGAATAGTCCCGTTAGCTGATTTCTTATCTCTACACTGGTGATATTTTTGAGCCTCTGGAAGATGAAGTTGTGTGATTATTTTGAATTAACTATTAATTCAGAATACATTGGTTGCATGGAGCAAACCTATTCTTCTTTTGACTTGTTTTTTTACAAGGGGGAGGACAGGAAAGCATAATGCAGAGATACACACACACAAAATACAAATCTAACATTTCAGTTTTTACCCTGATCTGTGTGTTGGGTACCATTTGTTGGCAGGAGTCTACATTCTGTGTCGTTCTACGTGGTGCCCGCCTGGGACAGGCTGTGCTGAGTGATGTTCTTCAAGCTGGCTGTGTCCCAGTGATCGTTGCAGACTCCTACATTTTACCTTTCTCTGAGGTTCTGGACTGGAAGAGGTTTGTACCCTCACTATTGTACATTGAATCACTGCATAAGAGGCTTCATTGCATTTGGTGATTTGAATACAATCTGTAAGATAAGTGTACTGGGGGTTACAGGAATAGAATACAGACTAAGAAACATGTGGTCTTTTGCCCTTGATATATTATGCATCAAAAATAGGAGAGGAAAACAACTGAGGCAGAGATGACAGAGCGTTTGGTTATCCTGTAGCTGATTGTATTTTTTCTACAACAGACTTGCTTTTATTATCTTGTGCTTAAATTCAGTGAGGACTGGTCTACATTCAGGTTCTTTAAAGAAAGTATATGCTAAAAATTGAATCACTTAAGTGCTAAATTCACTATATTGTATCCTAATTCCTAAGTTCGTCTGAGACTGAGAGGTATAATTATTCTGTAGCTGAGTACACTGTGTTAAGAGCTCAGATAATTTTTCCATGCATGCAGTGTGCCAAGTTATGTGATCTTGGGATAATATGTACAGAAGTGATTAGTTTGGATATGTAGCCCTGTATATGCTATATACGACTCTTCATATGTATATGACTCTTTGGTCACTCCAAAAATCTCAGCTGACAGCAAGTCACTGGCAATCCAGAGATGACAAACCAGGATTTCTGGGTGTCTGTCCCTTCCATATTTATTAGCTTGTCTTTGCATATCAGTCCACAGACTTTTGTGGCATTATCTGTGGGCAGACTGGCTTGTGTTGCGAAGGAACCGCTACAGGATAATCAATTAGGCTGAGAGAAGAATGCTTCTTTCTGCTAATATCTTCCGACTGTGTCCTATTAGAATAGGACAAGATTCTGGGTTGGAAAAGCAGCTGACATCTTTTAATGTATAACTTCCTCCTTCTTGTCTTACAATTTATTTTCTGGGTTTTTTTCTTATAGGGCCTCTGTTGTCATCCCTGAAGAAAAGATGCCTGAAATGTACAGTATTCTGCAAAGTGTCCCCCAGCGACAGATTGAAGAGATGCAAAGACAGGTAAAATCATGTACTGTGTTTAAATGATTTTCCTTTATTTATGATTGGAATGTAGGTTCATACACCTGCCTTGCTATGAAATCTGTTGGAATGCAGAAGCATCCATTGTACTCTCATGTTAATACTTCATTTGACCCCCTTTCTTTATGCTAAGCATATGCATTCACCGTTACTTCAGTGTTGTGTCTCTACCCTTCACTGGTGCAGCTAAATGTGTTGAACAGCAGGTCTTGTTCAGTACCACATTACCCATCAGGTGAGGAAGTTAAGAATATTGCATATGGTTGTGGTTGCAGAAGACCACTTCAGTTACTCAGTGTGGATTTGCTCAACCTACTACGTTAATGTATGTGCTGTTATGAAACATCGTATAGGATCTTTAGCATCCACAATGATTAATGCCCACTCATCCCAGGTTGCAGCAGACCTCCTCAAGAGTGAAACTGAGGTTTTAACTAGTGATTTTTCATGTAAAGATCATGAGATAATTTGTCATGAGTAGAGGATACAGATTTCTACCAATGTAGTCAAACTGCACTTTGATTTCACTTTTCCTTATGTCCCCGCTGCTTTCTTAATGCACCCTGGGATGGGAGCTCTCACTGAATAGAGGTGTACTTTCTAGTCATATATTAACATCCTTCTGATGAAATCACAGTGTATATTTGTTTCTTTTTTTCTACATAGTATTTAAATTGTATTAAAAAAGAAGTTCAAGAGTCTTGTCTTTATCTTTAGAGAAGTTTTGGTTTGTAGATGAATTTTAATCATACAAAATGTGAGGGAAGCATTAAATCCAAAATGTTTTAAGTATTTTAACAAAGTTGACAGTTTCTCTCAGTTACTTTTTTGGTGACTGAAGGAGCTGAGATCACGAACTGTCCAAACTCATGAGTGACGTCTGTGTTGCCTGGGTATAAAGTCAAAAGGAAATGTCTTACAGTTTACTCCAGCTGATGCTGTTATGGACACTGTTAATTGCTTTGATTCTAGAGCTCACACAAGTGCAAGCTCAACAGAGGAGAACTGTTAGCCGTGTGAGGATTTTGACAAAGTGTGAAGAGTTTTGTTCTCAGATTAGGGGGCAGGATTCAACCATATTGTTCTTCTGGTGGTTGGAATATACAGATTACATTTTACTCCAGGAAGAAGTAAGATGTTAACATATATTGTAAACTTGTATCTAGGATCCTATTATCCTTGTCACCTTATTGTACCTGAGTAAATACTATTAAAAGGTAGGGAGATAGTGTTACTGTTTTTCCTGATGAGGAATTGAGGCATAGAGCAAGTAAGAGCTAATACAGGGAAACACTAAACTCTCTGCTTTCAGGTGACTTTTAAAGATGCATGGGATTTCTGTAGTCACATTTCTGCATGAATTGTGAAGACATGTTTCTGAAATTCCCTTACCCAACCTTAGTGACAGTCATCTTTTGTGTGGCCCTTGTAAAAAGTGACCCAAGGCGTGCTTTTTCAGGGTGTAGCCTACAGCACTCTAGTTTTTGAAGCCTAGGCAGTGCTAAAACCTGCACAGTGTATATTAATACTGACTACGTGGAGAGAGAATAGACTTCCAAATTTAGCGGTAAGTAGCTTTTCACACCTGAATTCTGTTGCCACCTTCACTTTATTCTCTGTACAAAGCTGCAAATATCACAGCAGCCATCAGAGGTCTCCTTTCTCTTTAGTCTCGTCACCCAAATTGAACCCATTTGGTGGGGCCCATTGGCAGTGCCAAAAGTTGCTACCAGGGATGTCAGGTGAAGATGTAGCTTTGCTGTTACAGCTCCAAGAAACATGATTTTGCTTTATTTTTTTTTCTTTCTCTGACGTGAAGGTAGAGATGTTAATACGAGGGACTTTTGCCTAATAAAGCTTTTAAAATTGACATTAGTAGTCTCTTGAAGTGTGCATTGACTTTTTTTTGCTGTCCATTTTACTAACATCATAAAATAATCATTTTGGGATAGTGTTTTGGGATAGTGCAGAGAATGCACTTGGCATTATGGAAAGCTTAAACAGTGATTTTAAAGCATGAAATCAGGAAACAACACTAGTTTGTTTAAAAACAAACAGACAAACAAAACCAACCAAACAGAAAACATCCACAGGGAAATAAATCAACAAAACCCCTCTTAATTCAGATGATCTCTAAGTTATCCATATTATCTGTAACTCCACAAAATTAAGTTGAAATAGAAGATACTTTAATATCTAGTATGCACTTGTATTCTGTGCCTGGAGTGAATTTTGTGGGATTATAGGTAGTTCGCAGTAGTCATTGGGTCCAATGCACCTATTAGAAACTGTGATTGTATTGGCCAAAGGTGAGAAGATTGTTTTTTCTAAAGCTTACTCTCGCATCTTGATGCTTTTGTTGAGGATATGGTTGTGTGTTTTGGTAGCTAGAATATTCAGGATGAAATCACAAGGTCTGTCTTTCTCTTGTCTTCATGAATTTATTTCTGGCTGCACGTTGAGGGTACTTAAAACATGTTATCCAGGCATTTCATGTCTTGGCAGTCTTATTTACAAGGTAAAATCCCAGTGTAAGCATCTGGGAAATTCCCTTGCTGACAAATGGTTCTATGATGTAGCTATGTGATAAAGTGAAAAAGTACTTAGTGACTGATACTGTGTGGACTACCAGTAGCTTACTTGCTTTTCCTCACTGGTAATATGCACTAATATTCCACCTGTGCTACAGGTTCTTGTTTCCTTCCTCCTCACCAGTGTCACTGTTGCTCACTTGCTGTCTTTCCATTTAAATGGTTTGGGAAAGTATATTAAGACATTTTGGCAAGACAAAATGTCTTACCAGGTTTTTTCAGCATCTTCACTTTATTGACAATGTACAGGAATTAGTAAATAAAGATTCACAACATGAGGCTAAAGGGATGATAGGAGAAGAGATAATTTGAAGTTGGAATGAACCTTTAGAGGCTGGTGCTAAGGATAGTTCAGAAGCAAAGTGAATTTGGGCTTATTGTGGTTTAAGCCCAGCCAGCAACTAAGTACCACTCAGCAGCTCATGTGGGATGGGGAGGAGAATTGCTTTCTTGGGCAAGGAATTACTAAAGTGAAACTCACCTAATACCCATGTATAGAATGAATCTGCAAATGAACTGAAGTGATTGATACATGTTTTCAGATGTGATCTATAGCAGTCATTTATTCTGCTTAGCCATGGAAAGGCTACAAAAGCTTCAATGTACTCTGGTTTTGCAGGTAACCCATATTTCTCAATAATATTTAAATAGATTTCTTTGCTGCTTCAACTTCAAGGACTAATATAATAACACTTGATATACAATATTTTGTTGCTTGTTTTTTCTGTCAAGAGGAAGAGGGCTGACTTGAAACTGTTCTTGTTCTATGTTTGTCTTTTTGTGGTCTGTTCTCATTTTCACTGAGCATTGCTCTTATCGAGATGGACACATAGTTAGGTCACAGTGATCATGTCCTTTCTTGTTTTTACACTGTGAAACATTTGGGTTTGATATAACAGTGACAAAAAGATTAGTCCACAACTGATGTTAAAATGAGGAAAAACTTATCTTTGCAAAGAGCTTTTTTTAAAACTGGTATGAAAGTTGTTTTACAAGATCTCACTGTTTCCTTTGCATTTAGGATGTGATTAGGTTTTTGAAATAAAGCTGGTTTTGTTGCACATAAAATTCCACTAGAGGAGACGGTATGTTTTTGGTAAAGACTTGTGAAACATGCTTTGCCACTACCTGCCAATTAATGTACTTTAATGTAAATAAAGAAACCAATTGACATGTTCTGACATGAGTATGGTTGAGATCATCCTCTTTTTAGCCAAACAACAAATCCTTGCTCTAAATTTCTCCTGGTTTAAGTAGGATGAAGCATGCATTCATCATACCTATCAGAACTTGGAGTCTGATAACCTTTGAGGGATTGGAGCCTTGCTGTCCGACTGCTTTGGTTTTAGTGGTTCTCTTGATTATAACATAATCCTTATGAAAAACCTCACAATTAAACCAGATTTTATGGTAAATGTTGTCTTGCCAATTCTCTTTGTTGATTAGGTACTCTCTTTGCAGTATTTTATTGCAGTTGATACTCTGGTGATCATGCATCAAGGATAAAATAGACATAGATAAATACAGACACATATATGTATATGTAAATATGATTTTTCCAAGTTGAAATAGATTGTCTGCTCTTAATGAGTATTCTCTATGCTTAATGTTTTCTTTGTTTCGGGAGGTACTTCTCGCCATCCATCTGTTAGACAAGAGAGGAAGGCTCTTAAAGAGAAGTTATTACATTTAAAATACACAAGAATCCATATTTAAACATATTTTCTAATACTTTTTACACTGATCATTAGCATCACACAATGCAGTCATGAAGAGGATGAAATAAAGGTGCTTTAGCTTTGGAGTCATTATATGCTAGGATCTGTGGCTGGTATGACCTGGGCTGTGATTTCCTTTCCAATCTTACACAGCTTTATTTTGCTCAGTTATTTTGTCAGTATATGATATAAACCAGGAAAGAGATTTATTGGTTTGAGCAGTGCTGGAGTGTGGGAAATCAAAGGTAATTTCTACTGTCCTTCTTTATACCTGATTGTGCTGAGATCTCTGGAGATTAACTGTATTAACTTACACCTCTATTGTTCAAACTTGCAGAACATTTTGCCCTCAACAATTCCTGTTCCAGTTGTCTGTGTTTCCTCACAAAAGGGAATGGTTTATGTGCTTAGAGCCTAGTCTACACTGTTGTGAAATATTGTCATTCAGTACTACATCTACTACAGTACTTCAGTACTACAGCCTCTGTCCCTGAGAACTGGAGGCTAGCATATGATAGCTCTTATAAACTGCAATATATTGACCATCAAAAAGAGCCTCTGCTAGTTGAGTTGCTAAAATTAATAGCAGTCAGGATGAAACTTTTGCATCTCTGGGATTGCTGCCTTGTCTGTTTTCTACAGTAATGTTGTCATTCTCGTTTTCTTTGAA